GAGTAAGGTCAGGCCTACACAAAAAGCATCTATCACCTCCCACCATCTATACCTGTTGCATTTACACTAGAAGAAGAGGATAATAAATCTTCTGAACATATACACAATCTTTCAGATGCTACTGTTAGCAACTACGAGTAGCATATACAGCTTCTAGAGTAAAAATTTTCTGGGATGGGTAAGCCTATACTGCTCTCCATCACTCCATCAGTACAGACTATACCAGAGACCACAGTGATGCATACTGACGTTTCTTAACAGAGAACGTGTAGCATGTACATAATAATGACTTTAACCTAACAATCACATGTAACTTTGGCCCCACTTTATTAACTTATTCACTTGCTCAGATTAACATGCTTCAAACTCAGAGTGTTTAAACACTTGTCCTCTTGTCATGGAGCTGATGCCAAATTACATACATGCATGTTACTATTCAAGCCAACCAACAGCTCAACAAAACCAAGATTAAAACTAGTGAGTGGTACTGGAGTACCCCAACCTTGAGGGAAATTACAAACAGCAACACATTTACTCTCACCTGCACAAATGATCAAAATCAGCACGTGAGATATGATAACAAATGACATCAAATGATTTTCTAGTAACATTTGGCAATAGCTCTTCTCTTAGTGGGAAGATTGTTAGCATACAAGCCAGAAGATTTTACCTTGTTGGAGGAAGATGTTTTCTCCAGACCTTTTGTACTGTCTGACTTGCTGTTCTTTTCTGAGGAATCTTTGGTTTCCACAGACGGTTTCCGGGGTTTTTCAAATATGTTAATTCCCAGGATCTGGGCTACTTTATCAAGCTCAGATTGTTTCTTCTCTGCTGCATCGGATTCTTTATGCAGCTCGGAAATCTCTTTCATAATATTCTCTTGCAGCCTGTTCACCTCAACTAACAAGGGGTCTTTGTGTCCATCCTTCTCGCGACGTTTTTTCCTCAACATCTCTCCTGAGCCAATCAAGGAAGTAGAAGAGGCGGAAATGCAACAGAAAAAAAGTTGTAAGATCTGTACAACTATTCCATCAACAAGTAAAATAGTTATATTAAATGTTATGGTTCAATTTTGAGTAAGCAGTGAAAATAGAAGTGATTCTGAGGTAGAATATCACTAGATCTGCAAGATCCACCTCTATAATGATTGCTTTAATATACACCCCTAACAGAAGCACTGTAATCCTCAAGAGAAAGAGTCAATTTAATAATCACTGTTTTCTTGTGTGATCAAAAGCAAACTTGTTTTGTAAGTCAACCTTAAATTAAATCCTTAAATGATTATTTTCCAGGAAGGAAAGAAATTAATATTTACTCGGGTCAAACAGAAATTTGAAAACGATACAAAAAAGATGTCAACAATGCCCAGAGAGGCCTTTTCCTTCTCCAGATGCGATTCGTGAAAATTTGAAAGGCACACTGATGAGTCTTCAGTTAGCATTTTTCACTTCTTTTAAAGAAACACTTAAATGTAGAAAGTACAGCTCATTTAACTCATCGAGCTGTCAAAGAAGGTATAAGTTGAGCAACTGCTTGCTTCAATTTAACAGTTATATTTTGACATAATTAATTTTAGCATACTAATTAGGCCATTGCTTTCTCAAGAGTTCTGCACTATCCAGAGCTTCTAAACACTAGTTTTAAAATACAGACTATTATTACTTTGGACTTCACATCTCCTAGGAGGTACTGGGATTTGTGACATGTTCCAGTGAAAAAGAAAAACGGGGCTGTGGAGGGACTGTACCTTGTTGTTTACGAAGCCTGTCCAACTCAGTCTTTAAATAATAAAGCTTCTTCTGCCGTGCTTCTCGTTCATTCTTCAGTTTCTCTCTCTCTTCTATCACCTAAACAGATTGGAAGAGGACTGGATTTTCCTCTTTTCCCAACACAGGTTAATCAGTCTTGTGAGAATGACAGCAAGGCCTCAGTTTGCCACTCCCAAAGCATTAACCATTATTCTTACAATGTTCTGGAATATTTAATATGATAAATACACCTCTTTCTCTGCATTTGCTGGTACTATATCTCTATTCGTGCTTTAGCTCCAAGAGGGTGATTTTTCCTCTTGTCTTAAGTAGGCCAATTTATTAGTGCTGTTACTGCCACTAACATGTACCATTATAGAAATTTTAGTTCAAGTTTTATAAGCCAGCCATTGATATGACAAGACAGAGAATATGGCTCACACTAACCTGTTAGCAGCCTACGCAGCCATTTTTCAATGCAGTATTTTGCATTTTCCAAAAGTGCTCTGCTTATCAGATCATTTCCCAAGGCACTCGGACTCAACTGTCTGCCTCTTTAGAGAGGTAAGATCAATGCTGACCAGCTCTTCAAACCTCATGCAGCATCTTTACAGGGGGCACATTTCACCAGTGACAAGAGACCCCAAAGCCCTTCACCTTGCCTCTTGCTTTGACTCTGCCCTATTTTAGTTCATGTTTTTATTTCAACTTGATCTCAACTGTATCTGAAATGAAACCCCTTGATGAAGTTACCTTCTTGTTCAATAAAGTAAACACTGCTATGAGGAGTTGATACAGAAGAGTTTTCATAATTTTTCCCTGATTCTCACAGAGAAAAACAGGAAAAATGAAAAAGAAACCCGAATAGTTCTTTCACCATGCTCTCAAACTTCAATTTTCAAGACACAAACCACAATTTGTTACCTTCACAATGCTCCTAAGGCTTACTAATGGCTCCTTCCTCAAACAAACAAGAACCGATCCAAGGCCTTGTCTTCACTACCACTCTGCTAGGCCAAATGCTGGTCTCTAGAGCAGACACAGCATAAACCAACGGAAGGGATTCTACCAACACAGTTAGGCCACCTCTTGAATGCCTCACGATTAAAAAACAGCAAAACAAATAGGAAAAAGAATACATTAATACAGTTATGACGGTTCTGGTTTTTGTTTTTCAATTGCCAGCACAGAGACATCAACTGAAGGATGCAGCTTTTATACTCCCAGTTATCCCATGTACAGCAGCAAAACTAGGGAGCAGACCCAAGCCAAAGAAGTCTGCAGTGCACGTAAAGCCCTGGGAGTTCGGACCAGGTACGTGAGCTCCTGAGGATGCCGGGGGGCAGCAGGAAACCACACACCTTCAGCCAACATAGTTCTCCCAAAAGTGCCCCAGCTCCATTAACACCAAAATTCAACTGTGTCAACAGAAGAAATTACTACTCCTATAAGCAGTTAATGCTCACTTATAGACCAAAAATTGAATGTGACCTCTTCTCTTGAGCCCCTTGGATCCAGTGGTCCAGCTTTCCATGGTCTGATTTGTTCTGAGGAGGGCGATATAACTGAGTAGGTAAAATGCCTCCAGCCTCTGCCATATGCTGCTCTTCTACTAGCAGGATCTACCAACACAATTTATCATTAGCCCAGCTGTACTGAAAGAGTCTCTCTGATGTAGATAACACCCTTATTTAGCATCAAAGATCAATACGACATCACTCTGAAAACCCAAAAAACTTGTAGGAATTTTCCAGTCTTTTGACAGTTTTTTAACTACAGAGTCCTATTTTAAAATACGTTATTCCCCCCTCCTCTTGAAAGATCATACAATCCAAAATGTAACTATTTAAGGGAAATACAAAATCTATTACCTAAAATGATACCAGATGCACAAAGTAACAAAAAAAAAAAAAAACGTGATTTAATTTTGTAATTCTTGTAAGAGGTAGCTAAAATAAATGCAGAGGGAAAACTGTATGCAACTAAATAAGTACACAGTTTAGTATGTATTTACAAGTACCTAATACAGTTACCGCTGTGGTATTATTATATAGCACAAACCATATCCAAGAAAATATATCTCCTCAATACGGTCTACATCCATCAAGCATTTGGCACCCAAGTTAGAACAGTTACTCAGCTTTTGAAAGAAACAGGTATCTCCACAGACACATCCTCTTTACTTAGACACTTCATTTCAATATCTAACTCACTGGAGTAAAGACAGGCTGTGGTCACCATGTACTTTTTTCTTTTTTTTTTTTTTTCCAATAAGCTGCTGCCTGGTCCTAAAAACTTTAGCTTTGTGCTTGCTTTTGAGCTCTTCAGCTGTAACCTAGGAGCATGCAGCACTGGGGGCTTTAAATATAATTTTTAAAAACTGCTATGGAGTAATAGAGGCCAATGCCTCGAATTTTTAACAAAAGCAAATTCAATCCAAATGTTTTTAAATGAGAACCATTCGGTGGCGGGGGGGGAGTGTATCTGAGGAGGAAAAGGCCTTTATCCTAGCAAGCAAGCAGTCCAACATATTTTCATATATTAGAAAGAGCTGAAGGATAAAACACCAAAAAATAACACAGATTAAATTCAAGCGACCTATCCAAGTATCTACAGACAATTTACTCACCTTCTGCTTCTGAGCTGCCCGATTTTTTTCATCCGACATCTTTTCTGTGGTGTTTTTGAGAGGATGTGAAGAGAGCCGAAGAGGGGCTTTGGACTGAGCCGGAGTGGTGGGGACGTGAACAAGCACGGAGCCATCTCTTTTTAAATCAGGGCCATCTTTTTCTATGGAGACCGTCTCAATCACCCGGAGATTGGGACGTGTGGGATTTGCAGACATGGCCATGGTAAGAAGCCCGTGGGTCTCTGGCAGGGTAGGATTGGGCTGTTGGGCAGGCGGGTACATGGGCCAACCGGGGGCTGCATATGCCATATAATGCCCATAGGCATCGTATGCTGGGGGGGCCATTGTGGGAGGGGGATAGTTTGGGGGCATTTGAGTGGCTGAAAATTGAGAATAGTTGGGTATTTGGTACTGGGAAACAGAAGTGGGTGGAGGTGGTAAACTAGGAGGAGCAGGTGGAACTGAGGGAATGAGAGATACAGAAGGAAGAGTCTGTTCTGGCATACATGGAGGTATCTCCTGTCCCACTGGCTTGCTCTTATTATAGTCTGTTTTCTGAAAAGAGGATGAATCTTTAGACTGCGGGAAGGAGACAGGAGGGGACGCTGAGCGCTGCTGCCCTGATTCTGGGGATCGGGTATCGCTCCGACTGCGACGCAAGTCCCAGGAGTCCAGTCTGCGAGCGTCTGAAGAGCGGCGGTCAGGCGAGCGGGACGTCAGCTTCTTGCCATGAAGGCGTTCCTGGGTACGAACTGCCAGTTTCCCGATTTCAGCTACACCAATGTCCAGTCCAATAGTTTTGAGCAAGTCATGGATCTTCGCGTACTCGGCATTAGGCTCCTCTAAAGTATCCAACTTGGCAGCTGGAGCAGCAGCAGGAGGTGGACTCACTTTCTGGCCTATTAGTTCATTACCACAGCTCACTGGTGGCTTCTGAAGAGGGAGAGATTCAGTTTTGGGATCTTCATCCTCATCACCATAAAGAAATTTCTCTTCATCTTCAATGTCAGGAAAACTACGCCTCCTCTTCTCCTGAGCACTCACGGAATCAGCCATCATGCCCAGGATGCGGGAGAAACCACTGCCATCCTGACTGGCCCTCTCGTGGGGCAGCAGGAAGTCGGTATGGCGATCAGCAGCCTCTGACTTGAGCTCTACTTTCTCCTTGTGACTTAAAAAGCTTCCGAACTTCTCTTCAAATGTGAAAGTGTCCTTGGTAGCCCCAGAAAGTGGAGTCCACCCATACAAACCGTCCCGCAACTCCTTGTTTGCAGACTCCATAACAGAGTCTTTGTTAAACCGTTTGAGAAAGTTCTCCACTTCAGAGGCAAAAGGAGAAGCATCAGTGCTCTGGGGCAAAGACGAATGGCTAGAAAGAGGAGGAAGACCCTTGCTGGGAGCAGGGCTGCTTGAAAAGCCCTCAGACTGAAAGAAAGAGAAGTTATCATTTAATACAGTATATGGTGAGGAGGTACTTACCTCAGAGAACAAAAGAAGGTGGTAATTTCTCTTCAAGTTTACAATTTAAAAAAGAGTTTGAAAAGACAATATACAGTTGAAAGAGAATGGAGAACACAAAATGAGTCATCTAGAGACTCTGGAATGTTACGTCTGGAACTGAATGCTCATCCAAGAGAATACATAAAATCACAGTCCCATTTCACTAGATTTTCTAGCAAGTTTAAGAGCTGGAATTTTCAGATTTAAATCCTGTAGGATAAACTCAGCTGCTTTGAGTTTAATCACATACAAATATGTTATTACGCCTTAAGACAGGTAAAAGCAACTGCACTGATCTTATTTCCACTCACTTCTGTCTGTAGCAGATACGCATCACTAACGTCACGCTAAACAGGATTACCAATAATATATGTTGGAACATCTCCTGAGATAAACATGCCACTTGCAAAACAAGACAGATGAGTACAAAAGTCTAATAAACAGTCATGTGCTGAAATGTGAGACAAGAAAGTATTCCATTTATCACAGTTGGATACCACTCCAATTGCCCTAATTTTTAGACTGAAGTGGTACAGTTTGGATATAAACTAAGTTGGGATTATCCCAACCTATAGCCAAATGAAAAGAATAAAGGAAAATCAAAGATGTTTTCAGCTGGTGGTACCAAGAATACACTAGGCGTACCAAGATGCACTACTGTTTTCTAAAACTACACAAAAACAGAGGCATTGCAACAGGCAGAGATGTTCAACCGAAGTTCTGGCTGAATGGGCTGATAAAAGGCTCATGGCACTTCCTATAAAGCTGAGCCTGAACCCAGCATCTTGGACTAATTTTCAGCAAGGACAATTCATTATGTCTCAGATTCTATACACACATGATTCTTGGTTAACTTGGTTAATAGTCGAAACATTCTAATGCAGTGTTAGCTTGTATAGGCATGCAAAAAAAATAACACCTGTACTCTCGAAGACACAAAAATATAATGATTGGACTTTTCCTCTTTAAAAAACAATCTGAGGTATAGTATCACAAAGTCATTGTTTTGGAAACCAGAAGCCTAAAAAGCCAGGCAGAGAGATCAAACCTGAGCCGGAGATTCTACTTCCATCTCCACTCTTTTCTTCAGGATTGATTTTTTGGGCATGGAAGGTGTTTCCTCGGGCCTGTATGTATACCGAGGCTCAGAAGTCTGTAGCGTGCTAGTCAGACCAGGGATCACATAACCACTCCCTGGAGAATCATGATTCAAGTTTCTACTGCGCTCCTCCTCTTCTCGTTTCCTCCTGGCACGGTCAAGCTCTCGAAATTCTTCATTCAGATAGGATGGGCTTGGACTTCTACTGCGGCTTCGCCTGCGGTAGTTTCGTGTTCCTGATGAGAAACCTTGATGATCTCCACTCACACCGTGCATCTTCTCATCCTTTTCATACCGTGGCCGCTTGATTTCTCGTCCTCTCTCTTCTGGCCTTGGCGGGTAGGAGGATTTCCTGAGTTTGTCACTGTCTCTGTCAGATCCACGAGGCAGCTCTTCTCGACGACCATAGTGTGGACTATAATCAGACCGGTGGAGGAAAACATCTCGGTTGCGATAGTCTTCATCATGTCTCATGGTGTAAGGACTTGATGGTTGATCTTCATGTGATGGGTACCTCTCAAGGCCCCGAGAACATGGGAGACCTCTGGTGAATATCGGACCATCCGCCATGTCATCCCTGCATAAATGAGATATAGAAGTAGGTGCTTGAGTCAGAGAAAACAAAGTCTTACTCCCGCTCAAGAGTAATAAGTTTCCAAATCAGTTCCAACAGAAAGCAGTATTTTATATACTTAAAGAGGGGGAGGCAGTGGGGGAGAATAAGTGGGTTTTAATGGCACTCTACTTCCTTCCTGCAGGAAGTAACCTGCACATAAAGCAGTGTAAATAATTCACCTTATATTGCAGGAGAGCCTTAAAAAAATGATGGGATGGATTTATTTCTGTGAAGGATAAAAACTACACTTTTCTTTAAAGAAAACAATAATAATAAAATACTATCATGTTTCAGACCATGATCCCTTTCCTCACCTCACCCAGGAGGTGCCAAGGTCACATTTCATGTGAATTATTCAAGGCATAATTCAATTTCATGCTGGCACATAAAACAAGATCCTTATCATGCCTTTAGCTGCAGATAAGGACCATAAATTCAAGCAATCTTTTCTGTCAGTGACAGATCTGTAAACAGGACTGTCACTAGCCACACAAACCACTATACCCAAAACGAATCAAAAAATCTTCAAGAAGATATATAAAGAAAAGAGACAGTAAATTGAAGAGCATCATTCCTCTGTGCCAGCCTCTGCATTATTTACGCAGTGGATTTCCATATGGCATATCACCAAAATAGCTGTATCACCTGCAGTACCTTCTTTTGGACTGCTGCCTACAAGCATCACCAAGTAGCAGTTCTAATTAAGCCCTTTTTTCCCATCTCCGGAAAATTTTCTGGAATTTGCCTTTAAATCAGACAGAAACGAACCAAACCACTTGAAAATTGCCAGCTGCTACTTTTGTTGTTTTCATTTTCAGATACATCAAATTTGGCTAGGTACTCCAAGAATGGGAAACAGGAGTGTTCCTTAGGAGCAATCAATGGGACAGAAACCCTAGAGAAAAGTCTCACCAAGTGCCAAATGCATCAAATTTTCAATAAACTACACAGTACATGGCTGCCAAACATCACCACCTCCTACTCACAAAATCTGCTCTGTAGAGGGGCAGTGACACCTCAGAAAGAAAGAAAACAAAATAGCCTCTATCCAAACAAACAAAAAAGAAAACATACAGATAAAACCACCAGACTAAAAACTAGTTAATGTGACCAAATAAAGTATTTTTATCAAGTACAGTTATCCTCATAGTTTATATACACACATTTGAGAACAAAAACAATGCAAAATTTCACTTTGTATTTTCCAGTATCTACTCTGATCTGCCTCATTTCAAATAATTCCACACATTACTGGATGCTTTATCCAGTCCGAGATACACACACCTTCACATACTGAGATGTTCCTTAGCACTGCCCTGTGGGTCACAGTAAAGGCAGCAGTAACAAGACTTCACTGTACCTATGGTGAGTACACGAGTACTAGATGATACCTCTGCAGCAAACGAGACACTTCCACCCACTCCAAAAACTTCAAAACATCTAAAAAGTCGTTGGATTAAGGTTCAGATATAAATGCTGTTGTTTGCAGCCTATTTAAAAGAACTTCTCTAATTCTGAGTGCAAATGTCTCTTTCCACTTTCACCATTAGTCTTCCTGAGCTCCTGCTATACTCAGACGAAGCGCATGAACACCCCGGTAACCTAAGAGATGTATTTCACCATACACACTCAGTTGACTTTGTGCACGTAATTTACTTGCATGATTGCCAGGTGTCACCTGCAAAACAAATGTTCTGACTGCACTGGCAAAACAAAGGAAAGAAAGGAACAGCAAATCTAACATGTTTAGAACCAGAAAGAGGTTCCAAAACACTGAATAGAAAAGAAGCAAATTTAAGACAGGTATATCAGACCCAAAGGCTACATACAGCTTTATTTGCCTCATAAGGGTTATTTGCCTTACAGAAACTGAGGTTCCTTTTTTTTTTTTTTTTTTTTTTTTTTCCTTTCTCCTGTAAATACAGTCCAACTGAGATATGTCTATCTTGGTCAGTTTGGGTGTCTTTTGGGACAGCAACGCCCACTGAAGGACACACAATCTTCAGAGAGGATACAGGGTGGTACCAGCCCAACCATCTCTTAGTCCAACTAATTTATGAGTTACTTGACCTTGCAATAGCAGAAAAGAAAAACAGATCACAAGCAATACGCAGATAACACCTCAAAGGACCATAACTTGCTTTCTGGTAATTTATTTATTCATTTGTCTGCACACAGAAATAGAAATAAGTACTACTATTCTGCTCTAAGTATCCTACTGGACTCCACCTAAATCTTAGGGGAGGCCAGAGGAGCTGTTCAAACTCAGCCAACGGTCATTCTTGACATTATGTCAAATCACCTATTTCAGCACATAGTTTCATAAAGGCCAAGTCTCTGCAGTGATGTGGTCTAAGCTTTTGAGACAACTTCGGGTGAAAGAAATGGTGGGGTGCTCTGAGTAGCTTACATCTACTCAGAGAGTTTATAGAATATCCTAAAAATACTGAGCGGGGGGAAGACAATTTGGGGGATAAGATATATTCTTCAAGTATGCTAAGACTTCACTTTGATAGATTCTGGGACACAAGTAAAAAGACCGATACATTATTCTGCTGAAATAGAAGATTGAAGCTACTTAGGGGATGTGGAAGTCACCAGCCAGTGGTGTTCAGGTTGCTTATTTAGATACGTGCAAGAGGCCACCTGCCATAGAAACTAGGGGCAAAATCTTATAGATATTTTAGGATTGACCTGCAAGTGGACAAACAGGGAAATTCACCAGGGGCATCCTGGAATCCACTGCTGAAGGAGAATACAAAAGCATTCCTGAATCCAAAAGCATCCCTGAATTCTCTCCTTTGATATTTTATTTACTTTATATGCTAATGAACTCCTCTACCATCCTAAGGCCTTGCCAGTTATAGAGAATAACTTGTAAAGTCTCTCGAGTAGCTGGCAAAAATACCTGAGAATAACTAAATTCATTAATGTTTGCTCCAATTACTTCAATATCTGAAGACATATCCTCAGAAAACACCCTACTTTTTTTTAAATAAGAAAGATCATCTGCCTAATATCAAAAACAAGACAATTCAAAGCAACCTCTACCTTTAAAGCGCAGAGATTCATGTTCAGTTGATTGCTCAGTAGCAGGACAACCTCTCAGAGAAGAAAAAATTTTAGTAAAAAGAAGGTATAAACAAAGCATTTAACCAACTACATAATATGCTTTAAAAGCAATAAATGGATAAACAGTGAGGAAATCTGCAAGTAAGAAGAAGAAATAGGCAGAGGCTTTAGGAAAAGCTAAGGGATGGCCAGGTTCTCATGTACTTTAAGCTTGTGGACAGTAGGCACAGGCACACAACCTACACAAAACACTGGACAAAAAAGAAAAACCTAAACAACACAGACTTACTGCGCACCCACAAAACACGTACACGGGAAACCACCTGAAAATTGAGGACTATTTTATCTCACTTTCTATTCTTCTAATTCTGACTCATCTGTCACTTTTATACCTTCTCAGGAGTCTCTTCTGATTTTTTTTTTTTTACTTATATGGGCTCCATAATGCACATAAAGTGAAAGTTCTTCACTTAGCAAGTAAATCAAGGCCTTCCCAGTAGTCATTTTCACACTTCGAACAAAACAAACTCTGTTTTATGTGATGCTACTTCTAACCCTGAACACACTCACAGAACAGGACAACCATAAAACCTCAGTGGAGAAGAGAAAGCACCGGGGAACTCCCTCACCCCTCCTTCTTCATTTGCCAGAGCAGTAAAATGCCAGCTCTCCTTCAGACCACCTCCAGCTCCCTCCAGCCACTGTCCCTATGATGTCTGACTACATTTACTTCCCCTCTGCAGTGTTCACAAAGTCAAAGCAGTAAATTTTTTTCAAGCTACATGAGCACTTTCTTCTGGACTGTTCTGAAAAATCAAGAAAGCAGGTTATTCCTCAATAGATGAGAAAGTCGAAGCTGTATGCTATCCATAAACAAGCTTCCTTCCTCAGGACGAGGTAGGTTCAAAAGAAACTGAAGAAGATGGCTTAAGCTCTGAAACTCCTTACTGCAAAATACTCTGGTCACTTGTAATGTATATGGATTCCATAAACTGCAGACAAATTCCCAGAAGGAATATCTGTCCAGGGTTACTAGGACCACAACAAGCAGCTTTTGCTCAGGAATTCCCTGAACAACAACTTGCTGGAGACAGCGGGAGTAGCGCAGAGAAGCCTCACTACGTGCCTGTCCTATTACTCTCTTTCCCCAGGCATTCCCTGTTGGTCCCACCGGAGACAGGACGCTGGGCTAACTCGACATCGGGTCTCACGCGCTCCAGCCGTTCCCAAGCTCTTACTGTGTCACGCTCAAATCCCCACGTGCAGAGGACCGTACCTGTCACTCAGGTTATCAATTGGTGAGCCCAGTCTATCAGGCAGTCTCCTCCGCTCTGCCGTGCCAACGCAATACCGGTCATTCCCAACAGTAATCCGCAAACTCTGTTCCAGGGAAGACTCAGAGCGGAGACTCGGTGAACGTCTCTGTAAATTGAAGAAAGAGTGCAAGCCCATCAATCACAGAGTTTGATCTCAGCTACAGAAAGGCAAGTGATCCTGCTTTGCTTCATATATGACACTTGGAGTGGTCACATCAATTAAATTAAATTAAATGAACAGAATAACATTTGTTCTAAATATCCCAATTGCCTATAGCTGCTGAAAAAAGGTGAGGGTACCGAGCGCTATAGATTTCTTATTCCAGCTGCCAGTAACAAGCTCCATATTTACTTTAGCTAGAATGGAAATCTTAAACTCCAAAATGCCTTCAATAAACTACTGTTTTGGAAGGTGCAAGAACAGAGTTCAAAAAGTCCAAGAGTTGCTGCTGTGCTCCTTTCTTGGTAGGAGGAAAAGCAGCTAAACAAACACAGCATGAAAGAAAAACAGTGCCAGGAATTTCTTAATAAAAGTGCCTGAATTTCTATGGCTTTCCATAGAAATTCCATTTCCATTGTTCTAATAACAACATGAACCAAAGGA